CGTTTTACAGATCTGGCTTATGCTGACTCTTGGTTCCTTGCCTCTCAGGCAGAAGTACTTTGACTTTGAAGGACGAACCCACTGAATGAAGTCCTACAAGATGCTTGTTGAGGAGGCAGCAGGTCTATTCTTGTTTTCCCTGCAGCAGGGCCCTGGAATCCATGCAGTGTCATAAAATAGTGCCTTTGCCTCATCATCACCACCACCAACACCACCATCATCATCATCACCACCACCATCATAATCACCACCATCATCATCACCACCAACACCCCCCCCCCCCACCCCCCGTTATTATCGTCCCGTAAAACTGTGTCGTTGACATCTGATCAGCTCCCTCAACTCTTGACACTCAGTTGCAATGGACTCCGTGGTTACATGCCTAAGGCCGGTTCAGTCACTCAAGTTCTGTATCCAGTTCTTTCTTGATCTGCCTCTTCCCCTTTACCAAGCCTTGTAGTATTGTCGTTAAGAGGCCTTTAGATCTTATTACATGTCTGTACCATTATATTCTCTGCCTTTTGCCTTGCACAGAAAATCTAATGAACTTTTTTCCCATCCGACTTAAAGCTACTTGTGTCAAACATGAACTACAATTAATGGGCAGAAAAATTACAAGAGAAACTGGAGGTCTTAGACGAGCTGCCCGAGAAAGAGGAGATCACATGAAACAAATTATTTTAGAAGAAAACTCGGACTGAAATGATTCATAAAATTCATGGAATCACAACAGAAGAAGTGGTCTGGCCGTCTGATGAGAACGCCATAGAGCCACACTAAAGAATTTAAAGGAACACACCAGAGGAAGACCAAAAATAATATGGAATGATGCATCAGGGACAGCTGTGAAGAAATAAAACTTATACAACAGATTAGAATGAGCCTCCAGACACTCCCCCCCCCCCTCCCCCCCTTTTCAAAACTTTGCTGAGAAAGAAAAGTGCCCAATTAGACCAGATGTACACACACACATTTATAAGTTTACACAATTGTACACACACATTTATAAGTTTACACAACCGTACACACACATTTATAGGTTTACACAACCGTACACACACATTTATAAGTTTACACAACCGTACACACACATTTATAAGTTTACACAACCGTACACACAAATTTATAAGTTTACACAACCGTACACACACATTTATAGGTTTACACAACCGTACACACACATTTATAGGTTTACACAATCCAAGCAGTGACACAGTTTTTGCAATCATCTGACTAATTGTCTGTCACCCGAAAGCTGCCAATGAGGCAACTGAAAACTCACTGTATTTAACACAATGTGATGATAAAATTAACACTCAGTATATACAATTGCATGATCAATCTTGCTAGCAGGGGAAGGGGGAACCTAATGTACAAGGACTGCATAATGAACAACTGAAATAACTGATAAAAGGGAAAGCAAAATAAAACTTGTTTAAACAAAACACACAAGTATGAGCTCAATCAGAGGTACTATATCTAACTCAGAGATAATATAGTTAACTCAAAATTCACACATAATGTATCTATAACTCAATCAGATATCTGACCTCAGTCACATTTAGTATATCTTAAGTATGAAATAATATATCTTAACTGAGTCAGACCTAATATTAACTCAGCCACACATAATATTTAAACTAAATTGGACATTTTTAATCACAAACAGTCTTATTTGGACTCATTAAAAAAATACATTTCTGTATTTCTGGACTTAGTTATATCTTCAGATACAAAAAATGCACTAACGCATGTATGCGCGCGCGCACACACACACATATAAATAGCAGTCCATGACAAGAGAACATAAGGACCTGAATGAAAAAATCACAGCCACGCCTCATTCAATCCAACTGGCCAGAGTTTACTACAAAAGTAAGTAAAAGATATGCTTGCTTTTTTTATGATAGAAGACTCTAGCAGAAACTGAATCTTACAATTACACAGCAGCAAACAACAAATAGAATAAATAAGTTCACAGATTTCAAAGACAATCTTCTGCAGCTCAAACAACATCTGGAAATTGCTTAAACAAAATCTGGAATTTGCTCAAACAAAATCTGGAAATTGCTCAAACAAAATCTATAAATTGCTCAAACAAAATCTGGAAATTTACAACACAAACTAATTCATGCATAAATGTTTAGTTTACACTCTACATGGGTGTGAATGATCTTGTGCTTTTATGGTTTGAATTATGCACGACATTATGTGGCTTGCAGGATTCTAAAAGTTGAAATTTAGACAGCAATTTAAATGTCTAATGTAGTTAGCAAGCCACAACATGCAAACAAACAAACACACCCTCACAACAAATAAAACCAGAGTGGATAGACAAAAGTCAAAAACTGGCAGAGGTCACGGTTATATCAACAAACAATGTGAAACTTGAACAACGTCTTCTTCTTCTGACACTTTGAGAGATTTAGAGGTAGTGATTTTAAGGATGATGACTTCAGCATTGTTTGTCCTTAAAGGATGCGAGTGTCGGGTTGAATTATTTTCTCACTTCTGCGTATCTGAATACTCTTGCAGCAAATGTTAAGGTGTCATGTTACCAACTCCACTTATCAGTATCTGCTATCATTATGTTCCATGTGGAATTTAAAGACTGTTCCTCAGTTCGGATCTCTCAGATGTTCTCCATGTGGAATCTAAAGACTGTTCCTCAGTTCGGATCTCTCAGATGTTCTCCATGTGGAATCTAAAGACTGTTCCTCAGTTCGGATCTCTCAGATGTTCTCCATGTGGAATCTAAAGACTGCTCCTCAGTTCGGATCTCTCAGATGTTCTCGATGCTCTGATTTCTTGACCATTTGACCTAATCGTCAGTTATCTAGACATCAAGCTCAGATAATTCTCCCAGCTTCTTCATTTTGTCTGATGCAATGTGAAAGGATCCATTAAATGAGAACCCTTCTGGATTTCTGACACAGTCCATGAAATCTGCTCTTAGGTTTGCTGGTTCTGAACCGTTCACAGAATAGTTTCTTCCAAACAAGACTTTCAACAGACAATAAAAGTCTGTATTGAGCTAGGTCACACAATGCAAAAACCACACTTTTCTCAATCTTCTTCTTCTTCTTTCCGTTCACTAGCTCTAAATTCTGGCAGAAAGTTCTTGTTGCTCGTCCACTTCTGGACTGCAGTCCTGTTCCAGAACCTGAGTGTTGCGTGTGCATCTGTTTGATAGATCTAATTTGTATGCAGACTGTTGGTTCCTTGCCTCTCAGGCAGATGCACTCAGACTTTGAAGGCAACTCCCAATCAGTCGACTCTTACGACATGCTTCTGGGTAGGCAGTGGGTCTGTTCTTGTTTTCCCCACAACAGGGCCCCAGAACCCATACAGGGACTTTTCTCAATAAAAATATATAAAACAATGAACAATTTAAAAATCAGAAAAAAAACAGTAAATCTATGGCACTAGTATGTAAAATGTTAGGTTGTGTTTATATACTCCAGAACATGGGCCACAGCCCCATCCAAAGCTCTCAACAGTTCCTCGCCGAGCAATCGCCAGAACACATCAGTTAGACAAAGACAATGGCTGAAACAATTCAGCTAAACAAAGACACTGTCTGAAACTATTCAGTTAGACAAAGACATGGACAGAAACTATTTAGTCTTCCTTCTGTTCACTTTCCTAGTTTTCACATACATCTGACATGAATAGACTTTCTGCTGCACATTAAACTGTATATATACTGCACAATGTTAGCCTCTAGCGAGACCAACTTATAATAAAAATCCAAAAAATGGCAACATCAGGGACGACTGCTATGGAGCAGAAAGCGACAGAAACTGAATAACACAACACAAAATATGACTAGGAAAGTCAACAAAGGGAGAGGAATGATGTACACAGATACACAGAATCTTGAGACCAGTAATTCAATCTGTGCAACTGGGCTGTCCCCCCCCCCCTCCCCCCCCCCTCCCCCCCCAAGACTCTTCGGTCACAACGTTCAGCTCTTTCTATAAACATTTTTCTCTCCCAAGGATTTTGGTCAAAATGTTTGGTACTTTCTGGGTACATTTTTCTGTCCCAAAGACTTTAGTCAAAATGTTTGGTACTTTCTGGGTACATTTTTCTGTCCCAAAAACTTTGGTCAAAATGTTTGGTACTTTCTGGGTACACTTTTCTGTCCCAAAGACTTTAGTCAAAATGTTTGGTACTTTCTGAGTACATTTTTCTGTCACTTTCTGAGTACATTTTTCTGTCCCAAAGACTTTAGTTAAAATGTTTGGTACTTTCTGAGTACATTTTTCTGTCCCAAAGACTTTAGTCAAAATGTCTGGTACTTTCAAAGTATACTTTTCTGTCCCAGAGACTGGTCAAAATGTTTGGTACTTTCTGAGTAGACTTTTCTGTCCCAAAGACTTTAGTCAAAATATCTGGTACGTTCCTAGTACACTTTTCTGTCCCAAAGACTGGTCAAAATGTTTGGTACTTTCTGAGTACACTTTTCTGTCCCAAAGACTGGTCAAAATGTTGGGCTGTGTCTGTCTTTGCTTTCTCTTCACTGAATGAACCTAGTGATATTCTGTGCTACATCATGAATACATTTATGATCCACAAATGTCATTTTCTCAACAAAGGTTTCAAAATCAACAATCAGATGAGGAACCCCGACTCCCCAAAAGTATGAAATCCAAGATTTAACTGGATATGCTATCACAATAGTTTTTGTAAGCACACAAAAATTTATAAAACAGAATAACCGCACACTCAAACAAACATACATGCACAATGCTTAAAGACTTAGAACTTTAAATGCAAAAGTTTCCCTGAATGAAAAGCTGGAGGGAAAATGCTGCTCCCAAAGCTGGCTGACCCCAGTGCTTGTGGCGCCTCAGCAGGTGGGTGGGCGAGACAGTCAGAAGTTGCAAGGTGATGTCCCAGACTCGTGCAGAGGGACGGGGGCATCATCTCCTCATGTTTGTCTATGCAGTGTTCGTTGGTGGAAAGGCATCAGAATCAGGAGATTGTGCATCATGCTAGTCAACAACATCCCGTGCCTGTGAATAAAACAAGGCCAGAGTCACCAGATATCTCATCGTGTACTGTAACGACCTGATCATTATTATCATGTCTTTCTGGATTCTTCTGGAACTAATTATTTGTTCACTAGTTTTCAAACAGGAAAGTGAATTTTGTGTTTTCTCCTATTACGGTTTCCGAGGCCCCATTTTGGGACGGGGGAATAGGACCCCTCACCCCACAAACAAGCGTGTCATAAAAGGCAACTAATCAGGGATGTGCCAAGACTAAAATCCAGAAGTGGGCCCCTTTAGCCAGTGAGCGCTTCCAAAAAAATATAAAGTATGGGAGCCTGGCTTTGTTTTCTCTAGGTCATTAGGGTGAAAGGGTTAAAACTCCCATTCAGTCTGACCAACTGGCTGTCTCTAATTACTCATCTCCTTCAAATGAATGATATATTTACTTAGCTATTCTGTTTTAGGAACAAATTATTAACATCATATTAATTTAATGACAATCCAATGACACAGGATTATTCAATTAAATTTACTCACGGGCCCAAACATAGAGATCATCATGGGCCCGAAGCCCTGACAACAGTGTAGAAAACTCAATAACACAATACAAATGGCAAAAACCGGGGCCATTTGTAGGCCTCTGCAGGCTGCCAGTTGAACAGCCTTGCAGTAACGGAATGCACAAATATGCAAGAGAGTATGTCTCTGTATGCAGGTGACCACTTACAAATACTAAGCATACAATACACTACAATACAGTATGACTGTGTCCCGTACAATGCTGACTATGATGCACAAGAGTAAGGTGCAGACTGGCAGTCTGATTTTAAGGTATAAACTGAATCTCCTAAGTACAGTTCAAATTCCAATCAATACATACAGGTTCATCATTTATTGGTAATAAAGTGAAACTATGACGAAACAGCAGTTTATGTTTATACACGCTCAAGATATTTTACCAGCTATTTCAGAATATAATGCTTTTGTTTTTGTTCCCCTCCGGAACTGCAACCTTTAACCCTTTCGCCAAAGAAACACTTTAAAAAAATGGCAGAAACCTTTGAGAATTCGCAAAAAAAAAAAAAAAGTTGCGTATCCTTTACAGGACGCTGAAGAACCAGCTCGGGCATTTTTTGGCTGTTGTTTTTCCAGACAAATTTTACTTTCAGTAGTTTGCCACTGCTACTGAACGGTCAGCTCTCAGTACCCCTGTTGAAATGAATGCAAGACAAATCGTCCACAGCTGAGATCAAACCTGGCACCCCACACAATGTATGTTCGCAAGGCCTAAGCCACAGACAGGGAATTCCCCCCCCCCCCCACCTCCCAAAAAAACTGAAAAACAACCATTTTACACAGGTCACTAATAAAATATTTTAAACTGTATTTATCTCAATTTAACAAATGTTTTAAAATTAGGCTATTCTTCGTTTAACGGGCACTAAAAATGGCTGCCGCAAAATATCTGTTCGAGCCGCAGACACTTATCAATTGTGCACTTCCGGCTACTTAATTTGCGGTTTTCCGCCGACTATCGCCACTAACACGTGCTCATGTGGCGTGGATTGGGGCTAAACTAGATGGCTAGGACTCACAAGCAAAGCAGCAGGAGATGCGGAAGCTGCTGCTCGTGAGTCCTAGCCATTTAGTTTAGCCCCAATCCACGCCGCGTGAGCTGCGTGGGGGCCACGTGGCGGTAGCGGTTGTTGGCAGAAAACCGCAAATTAAGTAGCCGGAACTGCGCAATTGACACGTGGCTGCGGCTCAAAGGGATATTTTGCGGCCGCCATCTTTAGTGCCCGTTAATTGAAGCATAGCCCAAAATTAATAAAGGAAGCAATCAATAAATATGACTTGAGTGAAACAATAAACAGAAACATTCCCCAGGTTAAAAAAAAAATCTGTATCTGGTAACTTGTGCTGTGACCTGGTGACCTCTAACACTGAGGCAGTAGGAAAATGAGAACAAGATGGCTTTAAAAAAGACACTTTGTTCAAAGGAATACCCCTGAAATGCTATTTTAGTAAATATATTCATATCAAGGCCTCATAAACACTGTGTAAGTACAAACAGAACCAAGGATGTTTAACTACGCTTTTCGAGAACAGATTAATGTTAACATCTCAACATTTTTGGGGCTGTATCACAAAGGGAAGTAACATAATTTAGAATTCTCAGGGCAAAAAGGTTCAGACTGACACCTGGGACTCAAAGAGGAACTTTTAGGAACCAAATAATAGGTTTAAAAACCCAGATACCCCTTTCAAAGTATACAATAGTTACATGGGGGCACCCCATGGTTGGGACATGGCCTGCAATCATATAGGTTTGGTCAGGTATATGCAAGTTGTGAACACAGACCCAAAAAATATGCATATGCTTGCTCACATATTCTACTATTTTTTTTACACAGCAGTTTAATTAAAAAAAATTAAATACAAAAATGGGGGAAAATAATACAAAAATTAATTTATTAATTTCAGTGCACGTGCGTTTTGAAGAAAATATCAGTTTAAAAATTATTTGTCATACTGCAGATTCTCGAGCCGATTAGTTTTTCTAAAGCAGCTATTGCTGAGTCCTTAATAAAATGGGTCCTTACCCACACAGGACTACAGGTTATACCTGAAAGGTGTAGCCATTAGGGGTGCCGTAATTATAACTTCTGTTGAGGTTGAACAGGGTATCTGGGATCTGCCTTGTTGGTCTGCTGTCCAGATTGAGATTCTTCTATCTCAGGGTGGTAGGGTAAACCTTCAGGGAGCAGCTCACAAGGGACAAACCGATCGATCGATCGATAAATCACATGGGGCAACTAAGGAAGTTTGACATGAGATTGGCTGGCTTATTCCACAGAAAACTCTGATTGCAGAATCGAACCCTAAAAGATTTGGCACAAGCAGAGATGCTTCATGACAAGATGAAAGGCAGAAGAACAGAAGGGAGGAAGTTAAATTGCCACAAAGCTTGCAGGTTTAGAAAGCTTCAGGATAGGCATAAATGAATCTGCTGCCTGTGATTGTGGAGCAGAAAGACAGACCCCTGGGCACATACTACAGTACTGCCCTAAAATCTCCCAGCAGACTGGATCTGGCCCAAGGAAACCACATTGCAAGAGAAGCTATGGGAGACGGGTGGCGACCTTAAACGCACAATCCTATTTGTGACCCAGATGAGACTGATGTCGAACGCAGAAGAAGAAGAAGAAAGCTTCAACAGGGATGTAGAAGAAAACAAAAGAAACGGGAAGACACTGATAAATTATAAACTTCCCTGTGTGGATTCCAAGTTCCCACTGTGAGGTGTGTGTGGGGGAGGAGAGGGGTGGGGTGCAGACAAATTAAGAATAAGGGTTTCCTTCAAAGTCGGGGTGCATCTGCCTGAGGGACGAGGAACTAACAGCCTGCCTATAAACAAGCCAGATTGGTAAAACATATGTGCACGCAAAATTCAAGTTCTGGGACAAGACTAAAGTTCAGTGGTGGATGAAGAACCAAAACTTTCCATTGGCGAACACCAAGAAAGTGCATCAGAGAGTCCTGTCACTTAGACATAATAGAAGCACAGCCAGAGGTAGACCGCGCAAGCAATGGATAGATGCAATAGCCGAAGCCATAAATACCAGCATCTACATAGCAAAACCAAGACTTTTAACCTGAGGCCTCTTCAAATCTGATGCTGAAAAGTAGAACAGGACTAGAGGAAGAGGAGGAGGAGAAGAAGGAGAAACAGGTTTCTAAACTTCTGCAGAAAGAAATCAACTTACCACTTGTCCAGGTCTGGCCCAGGTTAAGACTATTCCCTCCTGGCAGGCTGTAACTATACACTCATCGCGGAATGTGACGGAGGTCAGTCTTTCATGTGAAACTTTCTTACACACCAAAGGTTCTAACATGGGCACCTGGTCAAGTCGAGGACATGCCTGTGTGCCGTACAGTTTCACAGAACTATCCACTGAACGAATATTATTTGATTTCACAGCCGAAGACTTCTCACTATTTCTTGCTGCTAAACTGAAGTTTCTTTTATGCTCTTTTTTCTCGTTGCTCTCTTTGCGTTCAGACACACCCAGAGTTGCAAATTTAGAGCCAGTGTTTGTGACGGCGTTCTGTACTGGACACACGTGTCCATCAGAGTTTGCATGCGCTGCAGAACTGTCATTGCTAACGACAGCACCGACAGAGTTTGTCTTCTGTGAATGTGGTAGACTGTTAGAGCGTGGCAATGACGAACAAGAAGAATTTAAAGCCGACAAGCCAACGCTGCTAGTCCGAGATTTGCTGTATGGCTGCTTTAAGATGTCCTCGGTGAGGTCCCATAAACACAGTTCAGTATCCTGACCCACTGAACCGAAACGATAGGAAATGCAACTTAGACTTGTGCTTGTCTCTAATGAAGATGAGGAATTATGATTGACTGTACCTATATGGTGGCCGTTTGGATGCTGTGAGGGCATACAGTTGGCTGGATCGTCCTCAGCACTAATATCTGTATCTAGTTTACCTATATGATTGTTCCCATCCCCAACTGCAGACGGCGAGTGCCGTGCGACGACCTCCCAATCTGAAGCTAGAACTTCACTAGTATCCTCCTTAGAAACAACTATAGAGGTATATGGGTCAAAGGCCACCATGTTCACCCACGACTTGTGGCCGTGACCTCTGCATACAACACGTTTTTCGTGGAAAGACCAGACAGTAACTAAATCGTCCTCTCCGCCGGTCACCAAATACTTGCCATCAGGTGACCAGGACACACACAACAACCCACCAAAAAAACTCTTCATGGTGCCCACTAACTCCATAGTATTATAGTTAAACACTCTCATATGCCCATCTTGACCGACAACAGCCAGGTACCTAGAACACGGAGAAAAGGTAAACTCGTTGATGGCCCCATGACCTATAACCCAACGATATAAAGGGTTGCGTGTACTTTTGGTTTTGCAGGTGTAAACTGCAAAGCCATCTCCCTGCTTGAATGGTTGGTAGTTAGGAGGCGTCTGCCCACATGGCAGCTCCTCGTTGTAAACGTACATCTGGCCAGAGCTGTGTGATACCAGGAACTGGTTCGGGGAATCTGGAACCCACTTGATGCAGGTCACTTTTGTCTTGTCAATCAAGCGCTGAAAGATAAAATATGAACTGTGAATACATAGCAATGAAACATAATATATGCGTGAGAAGTGCTAAATGCAACTGGAAAGCTCGATGGAGGGGACAGAAAAGAGGTGCACAAATACAACAATGTTTTGACCAAAGTCTTTATCAACGATGCACTAAATACAAAACAAACTGGAAAACTCAACAGACAAAACAATAGAGCTTCTAAAAAATGAATATTTCTGCAGTCTCTCTATTTACATCATCACAATATAAGCATAGACATTGATACAAAACCTAGAGCAAACAGAATACTTAACTCTGATGTTAAATCAGTGGAGCAGAAACATGGAGAATGACTGAAACAATTACCGATGACCTACAAAAATTCATTTACTGGTGCTTGCACAGAACAGACGGAATTAAATGGTGCGACAGAATGAAAAGCTTTGCAATAACATAACAAATTCCAGTGAATCTAAGAGTGAAGAAAAGATGCTGGCATGGACAGGACAAATACTGAGAAAATTTGTTAACATTTAACTAAAATGTTCTTGCACTGGAACCTACCGGATAAAAGAAGTAAAGAAAGAAGAAAGAAAAAATACACACGAAAAAAAGATAATTAAATACTGATATTCAAAAATGTAATTGTCAACACTGAAGAAAAGGTTCATGAACATCACAACTCAGAAGTTAAAATATTTTAGCCACATTCAATGTTGCAGTGGCTTAGAAAGAACAACAATGGAAGGCCTGGTTCCTGGAAGGAGAGGCAGGGATCCACCAGCACAATGGTGGACACGGGATATTGTAGACACACTGTATGAAAATATATATTTCAGCAGTATGGCAAGAGACAGCGTGGACACAGGATATTGTAGACAGGGGGTATTGTAGACAGGGAGTATTGTAGACACAGGATATTACAGACACAGGATATTGTAGAAACAGACTATTGTAGGAACAGTATATTGTAGACACAGGATACTGCAGACATGTGATATTATAGACACAGGATACTGCGGACATGTGATATTATAGACACAGGATACTGCAGACATGTGATATTATAGACACAGGATACTGCAGACATGTGATATTATAGACACAGGGTACTGCGGACATGTGATATTATAGACACAGAATACTGCAGACATGTGATATTATAGACACAGGATACTGCAGACATGTGATATTATAGACACAGGATACTGCGGACATGTGATATTATAGACACAGGATACTGCGGACATGTGATATTATAGACACAGGATACTGCAGACATGTGATATTATAGACACAGGATACTGCAGACATGTGATATTATAGACACAGGATACTGCAGACAGACTATGAAAATACATGACATCACAGAGTTGGAAATAGACCTAGAGGCTGTCTAGGCCATGACAGAAGTGAAATTACATAAATGATGATCAGTATCAAAGACAGCGATACAAGTATGAGATTAAGATCAAGAGATGGCGAACAGCAGTCTGAAATAAGGGAGATCTATTGCAGCCAATCTTCATTGTGGAAACAGCACCTGATTGATTGATACTGCAGTAGTCAGGGATAGAACAGCATCCATGGAGCAATGATACAACTTCCCAGCTACGAACCCTGACATTACCTCTTCATTGTACAACTTGCTGATCTCCTTCTTGATGGGGTCTATAAGCTGGACCTGACCCGCTGTAAACCCCACCAACAGGAGAACACTTTCAGGGGAGAAAAACTGCTGGTTGAAGTCGTGGCAAGTGGGTACCGTCCCTTTGTAAATGCGCTTGTCAATGGGTTTGGTTAGATCGGCAGCCTGCGAGTAAGACAAGACCAAAGTCAGTACAATAAAATTGACATTAGGGTGAAGCTACTTCTTCTTAGCATTCACCGGCTCTAAAGTCCAGGGAAAATGTCCTGGCTGCTTGCCAACTTCGGTGTTTTCCCAGGATCTGAGTGTGCAGTGCCCACCCATTTTACTTTTTCTTCTTCTTCATGTTCATTGACTGTAGGGAAATGTTCTGCTCGTCTGTCCATTTCTGGACTTTAGTCTTGTCCCATTACTTGAGTATAGAGTGCAGATCCGTTTTTCATCTTCCAACTTGTTATTCACCGACTGTAAACGCTAGGGAAACGTCCCGCTTGTCTGTCCACTTCTTGACTTTGGTCTTGTCCCAGGATTTGAGTGTGGAGTGCAAATTCATTTTATTTTTTCAACTTGGCATTCACCGGCTGTAAACTCTTGCAGAATGCTCTGGTTTTTCTCCCACTTCTTGACTTCGTTCTTAGAGATTTGCATGCATATTCGTTTTACAAATCTGGCTTATCTGAATGCAGACTGTTGGTTCCTCACCTCTCAGACAAATGCCCTCTAAATAAGAAGGAAACTCCCCTCCTATGACATGCTTGTTAGGGGTGCAATGGGTTTATTCTCTTGTTTTGTTGCCTCCAGAACGGGACCCCAGAACCCGCATTGGACCCCAGAATCCTCACTGAATATCTGATTTACACATGTGTCTTATTTGTGTATGGACTGCTGGTTCCTCAGTTGAACAGGAACAGTAACATCTCCTGCCCACCTCCAGCACCACAGACAGCAATGGATGCACTGCAGCAAGTCTTTATTGTGGAGAGAGCACAAAATCGTCTTGGTATGCAACAACACTAGCCATTACACCAGTTACATATACCAGACTCAAAAATATATATCTTCTTCTTCTTTGCTGGCTGTAAACTACACCACTGGGTGGTGAACTGATACATGACAAGGCAGATGTGGTCAAGGCTCTTTGGGAACAAGCAACGGAATCAGTAGAAAAACAAGATTATTATGGCCTAGAGAGAATGAGGCACCTGATTGTAACCAGAGGGTTTGGCCGACTCTCTACACTCAGAGGAAAGGCTAGAGAGACATATAACCAGATTGTGACTGGTACCATCAGTATTGGAACTCTGTGCTGGCTGATGAAGATGAGGACGGAGCACACATGGGAATGCCCTGAGTGCTATGATGTTAATTCATGACTCAACTCAACTGGCTGTAAACTCCAGCGGAAAGTTCTGGTTGTTCATCCGCCTCTGGACTTTGGCTTGTTCCAGAACCTAAGTGGTGCTTCACATCAGTTTAACAGATTGACTCATCTGTATGCAGACTGTTGGCTCCTTGCCTCTCAAGCAGATGCACTCTGAAGAAAACCCCCATACATTCGGCTCTTATGACATGCTTGTTGGAGAGGCAGTGGGTTAAATCTGATTTTTCCCACAATGGGGTCCCGGAACCCTCATGGGGAAATAAATATACATATATAGCTTCTTGTCTGCGTCTGTGGCTTAGGCGTTGCGAACGCATTTCATAATGCCGGGGTGCCGGGTTCGATCCCAGCTGCGGGCCTTGCGTTGGCTTTGACAGTGGTATCAAGAAGCTGACCGTCTAGAAAGCAATGGCAAACTACTAGACGTAAACTTGCCTAGATAAACCACAACAGCCCAAAAAAAATGCTATGTTGGTTCTGCAACATCCTGGAAAGGATACACAACAAACTATATAGCTTCTTCTGTTTCTTCTTGATGTTCACTGGCTTTAAACTCTAGCGGAAAGTTCTGGTTGCTTGCCCACTTTTGGACTTTGGTCTTGGTTGAAAACTTAAGTTTTGCATGCACATCCATTTTACAGGTCTGGCTTATTTGTATGCAGACTATTGGTACTTTGCCTCTCAGGAAAATGCACTCCGACTTCAAAGGAAACACCCCTAATTAGTCACCTTTGAAGGCAGCTTGTTGGAGTGGGGTGGGGGCAATGGGTATATTTTTCCTTCTAAAATTTGGGACTGGAAACCAAACAGGAAAGATAAATATATGACCTCTGTGTACTGACAGAACATGTACACAGGCTGGGGTGGACATGGTTCAAGGCTAGGTGAATACACAAGTACACGATTCACAGACTTAATGTTACTGAAACCACGTGGCTTTGCACACAAGTTCTTATCTGTAACCCTGGTTGCCATGAGGTCACTAGCTACAGCAGGCAACACAGCAGCAACACTATCAGATGCTGTCCCTAAAAGTGCTACTGTTAACAGCTGAATGAAGGGGTTCCACAGACATGACATGGTTCAAGATAAGCTGAATACAGCAGGCAACACAGCAGCAATGAAGAGATGCCGTCTCTAAAAGTGCTACTGTTAACAGCTGAATGAAGGGGTTCAACAGACATGACATGGTTCAAGATAAGCTGAATACAGCAGGCAACACAGCAGCAATGAAGAGATGCCGTCTCTAAAAGTGCTACTGTTAACAGTTGAATGAAGGGGTTCAACAGACATGACATGGTTCAAGACTAGCTGAATACAGCAGGCAACACAGCAGCAATGAAGAGATGCCGTCTCTAAAAGTGCTACTGTTAACAGTTGAATGAAGGGGTTCAACAGACATGACATGGTTCAAGATAAGCTGAGTACAGCAGGCAACACAGCAGCAATGAAGAGATGCCGTCTCTAAAAGTGCTACTATTAACAGCTGAATGAAGGGGTTCAACAGTCATGACATGGTTCAAGATAAGCTGAATACAGCAGGCAACACAGCAGCAATGAAGAGATGCCGTCTCTAAAAGTGCTACTGTTAACAGCTGAATGGAGGGGTTCAACAGACATGACATGGTTCAAGATAAGCTGAATACAGCAAGCAACACAGCAGCAATGAAGAGATGCCGTCTCTAAAAGTGCTACTGTTAACAGCTGAATGAAGGGGTTCAACAGACATGACATGGTTCAAGATAAGCTGAATACAGCAGGCAACACAGCAGCAATGAAGAGATGCCGTCTCTAAAAGTGCTACTGTTAACAGCTGAATGGAGGGGTTCAACAGACATGACATGGTTCAAGATAAGCTGAATACAGCAGGCAACACAGCAGCAATGAAGAGATGCCGTCTCTAAAAGTGCTACTGTTAACAGCTGAATGAAGGGGTTCAACAGACATGACATGGTTCAAGATAAGCTGAATACAGCAGGCAACACAGCAGCAATGAAGAGATGCCGTCTCTAAAAGTGCTTCTGTTAACAGTTGAATGGAGGGGTTCAACAGACATAACATGGTTCAAGATAAGCTGAATACAGCAGGCAACACAGCAGCAATGAAGAGATGCCGTCTCTAAAAGTGCTACTGTTAACAGTTGAATGGAGGGGTTCAACAGACATGACATGGTTCAAGATAAGCTGAATACAGCAGGCAACACAGCAGCAATGAAGAGATGCCGTCTCTAAAAGTGCTACTGTTAACAGTTGAATGGAGGGGTTCAACAGACATGACATGGTTCAAGACTAGCTGACTACAGCAGCAGGCAACACAGCAGCAATGAAGAGATGCCGTCTCTAAAAGTGCTACTGTTAACAGTTGAATGGAGGGTTCAACACACCCACTACCTAAACATAAAAGACAACTATTTAGGACTTTGCTGAATATGAATTGGTTAAGCCAAAAGGTGCAGATGTCACAATCTTGCTATGCCAACCACCTTTTCAGAACAAGAAGAAGAAGAATGGGAACACAACAACTCAGGATAAATGTTACTGTTAACAGCTGAATGGCAGCACATGAACTGATAACATGTGGCAATAAAATACAACAATTTCCTGACTGCTGTTGGCAGAACATGATCCTTGAAGTAAAGTTATGGCATTTAACAAAGTCTAAACCAGGGCTAATCAACTGGCGGCCTACCAGATTTGACTAGCCCATGGAGACCTAGCAATTGGCCAGCCGATCGTTGCCAAAAAGTGAAACGTAGTTCTTTAAAAAAAAAATTGATGTATTATGTATAGATCTAAAATCAGTTGTGACGAATGTGTCAATGAGAAATGGTTATCGGGATTTTCCAAACGCGGAGATCAACAAGGGAACCCCAACAAGCGCAGGAAAAGAAAATACCACAACTGTGAGATACGTGTCATGAATGGGTCAAAGTTAGTTCAAATAGTTAGGAGACCTGGCCTATTGGGGGCCAAAGGTAATATTATAGGATATAAAACAATCAAGTAACAGGTATGAAAGCAACTGCTCTACAAGACAGTCAATGAAGGTGAGATATTTATTGGACAGGAGGGCCTACGAAAATACCAGCACAGTCCTGGTAGTTAGAGCTTAGATTATTGAGAAACTTTCTAAATGGCTGCCGCTGGTAGACACAAACTTTGGTAATGGCTGCTGCAAAACACTAGTGACACTGGATGACTGGGCACTGCAGAACACCTGCTAGTGATCTTGTTAGATAATACAACTGATGTGTGAAAAATGGGTATTTGGAAGGGCCGAATGTAAGACGGGCCTGCGTGCATAATTTGTGACCCTTTGAAAATAAAGTTTGTTTGTTTGTTTGTTAGTTATCAGATTATAATAAGATTTTCATGAACGTCCGGTTACAAACAAGTCATAACCTAACCATAGGTTGCCAGACGCAACTGTGTACTAACAAAATGAAACAGTAACAGTGTTTTCAATTATCTAAACTTTAATAATTCAGTTAAATACTTGATGTCATGGCTAGTACTAGTAAGCGAGGAAAGTTGGAATGTGAACATCGAGCATTCAACAATGACTTGACACTGAAATATTTATTTTTAATCACTGACTATGCCTAATTCTACTTCTTCTTCTTCGCGTTCACCAGCTGTAAACTCGCGGGCACAAGTTCTGGTTGTTCGTCCACTTCTGGACTGCAGTCCTGTTCCAGAACCTGAGTGTTACGTGTGCATCCGTTTTACAGATCTGAATCATTGGCATGCAGACTGCTGATTCCTTTCCTCTCAGGCAGATGCACTCCGACTTTGAAGGAAGCTCCCAATTAGTTGACTCTTACGACATGCTTTTGGGTAGGCAGTGGGTCTATTCTTGTTTTCCCTATAATAGGGCCCCGGAACCCACACGGGTAATGCCTAATTCAAAACCAGTGTGTTTGCTATGCAATGAATGTGTGTAGACAGTAAAGAATACAATGTGAAGCGATAGTTTAGAACGGAACAAGCAGATTTCAGAAAATCATATCCAGAAGACTTCACTGCTAGGATGGTATGAGAATTACTCTAACTTCACAACAGTCATATTTTATAAAATTAGCTCAAAAGCAGAAATGCAACTTTTCCCATCAACAACATTTTGCATCATTTTAACTTTAAGTTTCTTCTGCACAAAGTCATTTGAAACGAACTGTGGACAGTTATTATATTAATATGATAATTACAAATGAAAGGACAATGCTAGCGTGTATTTATAATTCTAACGTCAAGTTGGAAATGGGTATATTTCAATTTAGAGTAAGTATAATTGAATCACTACAAACAAGTGAAAGATATTTAATATTATAATAGTTTATATCACTGTTTCATTTATATTACCGTAGGTTAGGCCCTAAGGTCAGGAGTAACAATTTTAGAGTTTATTAAAGTTGAGCACTGACATTTTAAAAATTTTATTGTGTGTGTGCACATGTGTGTGCATGCGCGTGCTTGCGTGCGAGTGTCAACTTTCCAAACTTGGACTTCGGCCACTGGCTCGCGACGATCCCCATTTCCAACATTCTGACCAGCAAGTAAACTTAGACGAATAGCCCTGGTCTAAACTATATTTTGTGAGCACTACCCTAAATAGTAGTAAAAACAAACAGCAAAGTTTTTCTTTGTATACCTGCAATATTCAGTGAATGCTTGTTTAACTGGTGTGGTTACTTACATTTTTGATAAGCCACAGCAAATGAAACTAGCGACTAAATTTATAATATTACAGCTTTTTTGTTTGTTTTGTTTATTTACATTGTTCTTGCAACTGTATTTAATGCCTGTGATACTAATATCAAACATTGTTCTTACATCTGTACTAATGCCTGTGATACTAATATCAAACATTGTTCTTGCATCTGTACCTAATGCCTGTGATACTAATATCAAACATTGTTCTTGCATCTGTACCTAATGCCTGTGATATCAATATCATAGTTTTCTTGCATCTGACCTGTATCGTATCTACTGTAGTGATAAAAATAATATAGATCTGTCTGGCATGTTATATGTAACTAACTACTATCTGATATCAGTGCTATAAATATCATAGATCTTTCCTGCATCTGTATTTACTGTCTGTGATATAATTAATTATCATTCATTTTTCTTGCATATATATATATCTACTGTTTCACTTACAAATGTACCCACACTAGAGTCATCAGACATGCTTCAATTTTAATTTTATAAACAGTAAACACATCATCGCTGATGTGATTGATTAAACAGACTAGCAGAATGAGAAGTGAAAACTTCCAAATTAATACTGTATCTTCCATATTCATCTTTAAGGAGCGGTGTTTTCCTTTTATTATTATTATTTCAACAAGCGATAACGATGAAGCAACTTAAGTAAGTGAAAAAATATAATAAATATATACTAATAAAATAATATACTCAATAAAATAATAAATGACAGGAAAACAACACAACACAGAAGAAAGGTAACTCAAAACAAAACTAGAATCTGTTCACACACAGGTATACAGTCCAACACAGCAGCAGACCTATTCTGTGTTCAACCCTGACGTTGTACCACATTATTTACACTGTAAAATTGTGATTACCTTACGAACACCTTTGTAAACATACACATAGAGCTCCCTGCCAACATTGAAACACAAGCGATCCGGCGACGAGCTCCCATCATTGACATCAACAAATGACACTTTCACCGGGGTATTTGTCTGTCCATTAAATGCCACACGGCTGGGCTTGGAATACTCCGAATGGTGCATTAATTTATAGGATCCTTCGCGGGTAACGAAATGTGTTTTGATATCGTCTTTACCCCCACCCTCACTCTGTGCCGCCATATTGAAAATTTGCAGACTTCAGCAGCAACGACGTACCCGGATACATGGCGGCCGTGCGCATGCACCTGTGGCACTTCCTACTAGCTCATCTCTAGACGGACACATATATGCAGACACTATCTCTCTGTCTTATGTCTAGATCTCAGTTATAGTTTTCTAATTTCTTCATCACTTTCACCTGCGGAGAGTTCTGGTTGTTCGTCCACTTCTGGATTCTAGTTATGTTCCAGAAATTGAGTTTTAATCAGGTCCAGGTGAAAGCCAGAAGTCCAAGCGGACGATTAACCGGGACCTTCTGCCTGAATTCACAGCCGGTGATCGATAAAAAAAACCATCCGTTTTACAGATCTTAACCAGCACATCTCTAGGCGGACACATACAGACACCTTCACTTACATCTTGATCACAATTATCTACTCTCTTCTTCTTCTTCATCTTCTTCTTTTTCTTCTTGGCGTTCACAAAGGAAAAGTTCTGGTTGTTCGTCCACTTCTAGACTTTAGACTTGTTCCAGAACTCGAGTTTTGCCTACACATCTATTTTACAGATATGTACCATCACATCTCTAGGCGGACACATACAGACACTTTCACTTACATCTAGATCACAGTTATCTACTCTCTTCTTCTTCTTCGCGTTCATAGAGGAAAAGCCCTGGTTGCTCATCCACTTTTGGGCTTGAGTTTTGTTACAGAACTTGATTTTTGCGCGCACAACCTTTTCCAAATCTGGCTTTTTTGTATGCAGGTTACAGTTAGTTTACAATATTTATATTACTTGTAGTTCACAGTATTCCTCTTACTATTACTTCTAGTTCCCAGTATGTCTGTTACTTCTGCTTTGGCACAGCACATCAACACATAGAGAAACTCTGTGATACTTCTCTTTCATAGTGCTTTCTCTCCGTGTGGGTGCCCGGCGCCCTTGGTGGTAGTGGGTGCGGGGTAGTCCCACTGCTCCCTAACAAACACAAGCATGCCGTAGACGAACTAACAGTCTGCTTACAAATAAGCCAGATCTGAAAATCGGATGAGAACTCAAAACTCACGTCCTGGAACAAGACTAAAGTCAAAAAGTGGATGAACAGACAGAACTTTCCGCCTAAGTTTACAATCCATAAACGCGAAGAAGAAATTAGTGCCTTCGTTAATGTTTTTTTTTTTTTTTACAGTTGTTCTATGACTTTTAGTTTAGATCACTTCTTTTAAGCCCTACTTAGATTGTGCTAGCGGGAAGAAGGAAAAGATAAAAACATAGACGTAGATAGATGAGGATACGGAAATATGGCTAAGACAAAATGTAGTAGTTTCCAGATGAACAGGAAAAGTAAAGAAAAGGTTCTTCTATGCAGGGGCGACGAAATATTTTATGGTAGCCGTGGCGATGAATATGTGAATTACACAACTACTACAAAATATGACTGCACACACTTAGACGAACCAAATCCTAACTTGAACCAAGCAAATGAATTATAATCATCACATTGAACATCTGTTTATTTTCTTGAACACAAAACTAAGCGCTTTACATGTAACTTTAAATAAAAACCACCATCGTGTCCACGCATACCACGTGCTAGGTACTTTAGCTATCAAAAATGACAATTCTCTTCTAAAGACATAAAATCAAACATCTCCGATCGATGATATACACTGATTTATAGCTCTACACAGTTTAACTACTAGAACAAAAATTCAGATTTAACTATAATGGAAACTTATATCAAACCATAGATGTACCATCGCCATGAAATCAACCAGTCTACCCTCGCTGCTTTGCCCATGTGCGTGCAGTCGCTGCTGGGTGGGAGCTCCTGTCCCCGGGCGCCCGGCGCGGTCAGAATGCGGAAAACCGACCGAGTCGTTTTCCGGGTACCTCGGTCTATTTTACAGACTCCAGGACTCTCTGTGCTGCCACATTTTTGTTCACTTGCATCCTAATCCAACCGAATTTATAAAGCTTTTTTGGCATCCTGCCACACAAATAACAAGTCAACATTAAATCCCTGCCAAAAAAAAAATTACTGAAACTATAACCTTGAGTGACCCCTCCCCCCCCCCCTTTTTTTTCATTACCCTCGCATTCTCCAAATGTCAGACTATTTAAAACAAAAAACAAAAACAAAGTCTCACATGCAGTTTGGTCTGGCTGTATTGTCACTAGATGGCCGAATTATAGCATTCTCTATCTGTCAATAATTCCGACACGGTCTTACCCCAACTTTATCTCTAACGTTGGTATTTGTAACCCTGTCTTTCTTCTCATTGTCCTCTAACGTTGCAAGTAAAACATCTACAAAAGTCTCTCCAATGTGTTGATATTATTTGTTGTGTAGCAGCTGCTGATTAGACCACTGCCGGCTTGCTAGGCCTGTTGCGTGGCAGGGCAAGAAGGTTGTACCAATGTCTTCTATCATAACATCCAAGACAGAACCGACATGCTTCACCAGGCTTCACTCTAAGGTTACATAATGTTAGCGTCAAAGATTCGTCATTATCCACCAGTCTAGTCCGTTTAACGTTGATGATATCAGCTCTGTCCATGCATTCCCAAGCCAAAATGGTGCCATCCTTGCCAGCTGGCCCAGTCGTACATTACAGTAATATAGTACATTACTGTACGTGGCTAGTCCACGGACAACCGGGATAGACTGGTGACTATCGAGATAGACCTTTTGACGCCATGGAAAGACTGGCGCCACAGCAGCAGAGGGGTGTAAACTGGCCCTCTGGACAGAGAGTCGACTGTGGACCGGACTGATCACACCTAACAGTATAATCAAATGATTGCGAAAGCTACCTATAACGAAATATGCCTTTTGGGTCCATCGAAAGGGAGAAAGAATGAAGGACCCACTTATATTGATTCAAACGATAACGACCCCGCCAGTCTCCGGATGGAGATTGCTGCCCAACTACCGGGCTGGATATCTACATGTGGGAGAATCTTCACGGGCAAGCATTGTCTGAAACGCTTGCCGGAAGGATGAAAAGCGAGGGTGCGCCACGTACCAAGGCGTCTATCACGGAGATAGGGCATGAGTCCCTAGTGAAAAAGAGCTTTAACTCCCTAAAAGCCAGAGTGCCCGATAAATGTCTGCTAGTGTCTCTCTGCCAATTGCCAAAGTCTAACGTCTGTCCGATAAGTCAACCGTAAGCTTGTCACTCTGGTCGCGAAGGCAGGCGGGTTATTTGCTACCGCAGCGACAAAATATAACACAAAATTTCACGATAACTATTGCAAAGTCACCGCTTTGTCTTGTCCCTGTCCGAACGTCTGATAAAGTGCAACAGGGATGTCCGAAGCTTAGCTTGGTGAACCAGGTCGGTCCACTTTCCAAGATTGTATAGGAAGTTAATGGACCGAAACAATCGTCGATGAAGGACCTTTCTACTAGAGCTGTACCGAATATTCGCTTCGTATTCGCTTCGGGGCCGAATATTGGACCTAATAACTATTCGGTATTCGGCCGAATAGTTGCGGTCGGGCCGAATAGTTGCGGTCGGACCGAATACGAATAGTGGTTACCTTACGCCCGTTTCTGCATACACTGTGATGGACTGAAATAACTATCTCATTAACACAATCGTTGCTGTTGCCTAAGTCTGTCGTAGCGGGGGAAACTGCTACTCGGTTGCGTGATACAAACTGCATAAAATGCCAACCGCAGTGTGTGTGTGTGTGTGTGTGTGTGAGTGAGAGAGAGAGAGAGAGAAAGAGAGAGAGAGAGAGAGAGAGAGAGAAAGAGAGAGAGAGAGAGATCATGCATTTTTCGTTTTTTCAGGGTGTCTTCGCCCTAATCAAATTTGAAGATATTGCTAACGAGAATATGAAGGTGCGTTTAAATTACATCGAACGAACAGCCGAGCGAGCGATAGTTTTGAAAGAGGTGGGAGCCCGAAGACAACTAATCACAGACATCAGAAGGAGACAGTCGTCATTTTTCAGCCATGTTATGAGAAGAGGGGAAATGGAACATTTGGTGACCACTGGAAAGATCTGTGGAGGGAGGGATAGGGGAAGACAACGAGATAAGATTCTTGACAGTCTTGTTGCATGGCATGGAGGTGTGTCAGCACACGAATTGATACATGCTGCAGGAGATTGTAGCATGATCGCTCACGCCAGTCGGCAAGGCACCTGATGATGATGATACACTATTCGTATTCGGCCGAATAGTGAAAATCACTATTCGGTACAGCGCTACTTTCTACTGATAATCGATAGACCCCTGCTGTACATGCTCCCCTTTGGAGTTCTTATTATTATAGTGCGTTTTAGAAGTCCTAACACTGCACTTAAACACATGTCTCGAAAACTTCTGTGCGGATGAAAACGAACTGTTTAATGTCACCTTTATAATTTACAATTGCACAGGTCATGCTGTTTTCTTAAAGCGGCAAATTTCTTTGATCTTTGTTTGGCAAATAATTTGTAGACCCCTTGAAAATACACAGTATCTGACACACGCATGGAGATTCGTTAGAAATCAGTTCCCATGTGCGGCCATGCGTGGTGATTATTTTGATAGCGCATCCCGCATACAATGAAAAATCCACAGTTCACTGGAGACTAATGCTGGCGATGATTACCTGAAAGAGAAACGCATATGAAATGCGTGTTATTTGATGTTTTGAAGGGTTCCTGTGTTAACTGTAAGGATTCTGACTGTTTACTCTGAATCGGTGTCTGTTGCTGCAAATAAGGCAAAATGAAAACTAGATGTTTGTTTACATTAATTGCCGTGTGGGTTCCGCGGACCCATTTTATGGAAAACTAGATTAGACCCACTGCCTTCCGAACAAGCATTTAGGAAGAGTCGACTGTTTAGGGTTTTCCTCCAAAGCCGAAGTGCATCTGTCTGAAAGGAAAAGAAACAACAGTCTGCATACAAATAAGTCAAATCTGTAAAAGCGATGTGTAAGCCATACACAAGTTCTAGAGCAAGACTGAAGTCCTGAAGTGGACGTACAACTAGAACTTTCCGGAGTTAACAGCCG